ACCCCCCCCCGCCATCACGAAAGTACTGTAAATACCGAGTAAAACGGCTGAAGCAGCAAGGTTAACACCAGGCGCCTGGAGGCGCGCTTAGGTACTACTACTACTACTACTACTACTACTACTACTGTTACTGTCCTCCAATTTCTTTTCCTATTGCTATTCCTATTCAGTCCTATTCCGAAAAGTGCTCTTGAAGGCCCGGCCTCTTCGACAAGCCGACTTTTCGGAAAGCAGACACGTGGTCCCGAGCTCAGAGGGGGCCCCCATCCATTGCGAGTAAAGGCAGAAGGATACTGTAAGTGTCTGCACAATGCAGTTCGCATGTACTGTACGTAGATCTTAGTTTTTCTTCCTGGCCATGACATTCGCATGGACAAAGGGATGGACAAATGGATGTTTCGAACAAAACGAAAACAGGAAACGCTGAGGACCCACTCGAACAAAGCAAAGCTTTGCAAAAGAAAGAAAGAAACGCCGAGAAGCAAGCAACGTGAAAAAAAAGTCACAGAGCAAGCGTAGCCGGGCCTTTGCTCTCGAGGATGCCAACGTTGACCAGAAAGGAAACAAAGCGCAATGATAGGTCTTCTGCTGACACGGCCTCAATGTAAAATTCAGTTACTGTATCCTTTTGCTTCCTTCATGGCATTAGTTTGTTAATTCAATGTTCGCCTCGCGCACAGCAACTTTGGGAGGACATGGTCTTCTGTGCTAGCCAAGTTTGGCATGTGTTCCATTCTTCCAACCAGGACCTATCCGGATCAAATGTACACTACACGACTCGACGATGCAGTGTTTCCTCGTGATCAGACCACAAATTGGACCGCGATTCGAAGACTGGGACTTTGTGATCAAGAGCGACTGCAGCATGCCACCCGCTTGGTACGATCAGGGCTTCAGCTTCTGAAGAGTTGGAGACCGTTCTGGGAGCAGAGCACAAGTAAGAGGATGACGAGACAGAGCCAGGACCAATCTGAATTTTCCAACATCATGTATGCGGAGCAGGACTCCGAGAAAATTACGTCTGCACAGCTCTGTCCCCACAGACAGGAGGCGGGTGCGTCGGCTAATGGCATAGAGTTGCCAAGATCTTTGGACGAGCATCACCTCGAAACCCCGCCGCAGAGTTGGCGGCCAAGACTCAAACCCTCAAGTTTCGTTTCTTGCGCAACGCTGCGCAAGCCCGCGTGAACCGAAACCGCCAGAAGAAAGCGCACAGCATAGGCGTTTGTCTGGCCCCCCCTTTCCTACCTTTTTTGCTTCCTTTTTCGGTCTGGCATGAACGGGTTTTGGGGTTGGGCCTGCATGAAGTTTCGGGTTTGGGGAGTTTCGGATCCCAAGTTGCCAGTCCTTGGGCCCTTAGCCTGCCTACCTTAGTCCAGAGACGGCAGCTCTATATTATACTATATTATACTATATTATACTATATTATACTATATTATACTCTATTATACTCTATTATACTCTATTATACTCTATTCTACTCTATTCTATTCTATTCTATTCTATTCTATTCTATTCTATTCCATTATATTATATAAACTACTTGCACGCCCGAAGCCAGAACAACCTCAGACCCCGAAGACTTGGCAGCGAATATCGGGCTGCCAGTGACTTCTTTAGTCGATCTCTGCAAAGTCCTGTCCTCACAAGTACAGTGTGGATGTAATTTTCATGTAACGTCATCGAAGTGTTCTGAGCTGATCTCAATTTTATGTCGCGTCACACGACAAGATGTGTCAGAGTCAAAAGCCAACACGTCTGGCGCTCCCGTGTTCGGCTCAGGCACGGCGGTGGGCCGGTGCATGCAGGCGCTTGACCGGCATTAACCTTCGAGTTCTGGGCTATGAGAATATGAGGGCCTGCAAGTTTTGGTCGGAGGGTGAGGCGTAAGGCCTTAAAGTGCTCCGAGCCACGGTGCTGTCATCTGTCCTTGAAGCAGGGCCCAGCCCATGGGCGCAGGAGTTTGCTGCGGGACCTGCCGGAACTTCAGAAGCCCCAGTTGTTAACGCCCATGGAACGCAAAAATGCCGAGCACCGAGGCCATGGCTGGGCCAATGATGAGTCCAAATGCCGAGCACTCATCGGATGACCGAGCGAGTCATTCGCACGAGCCCCTGCTCCTGCCAGGCGTCTCTGGATCTCGAGAATGCCTGGCAAGCTGGGCTGAGCAGCTCAGAGGGTTCAGAGGGGACGGTTCCCGGGGTCCCTAAGGCTTTGCTTCTGCCCTCAGGCCTGCGCAGAATCCCGCGGCGCTACATCCTGCGCCGCGGCCCTGCATCACTGTCTCAGAACTCCAGAGATCCACCCGGACCTTGGAGCTGCGCCGAGGTCTATGGACGGCGCCTGGAAGCAGGCAAGCGCACATCCAACTCACTACCAGCAGGGGTTGTGACACTTCAAGAGTCCATATCGACTTCAGCGGAATGGGAGTGGGAGTGAACGGTTTCAGTTACACCTGGTCATACTCGCAGGCACAGGCCGGCCCGGCAGGCTCGCTGAATGTTTGAAAGCCTGCAAAGTGCTCAGTAGCCCAAATCAACAGTCCACAGGTGCAGCGATGCCCCTTGGCGGCTTCAGTATCTCTTGGCTTTTCGATGTGCAACTCTGAGCTTAGGTCCAGCACCGGCCCAATGGGCCCGATGATGGGTCCGATGATGGGCATGGGTATGAGCATGGGACCCATGATGGGCATGGGCATGGGCATGGGCCCCATGCTTCGGGCGGAGCGCTGAGTTGCCGACACAAGAGCAGCTCGTGAGCTTGAGATTGAGCTCTTTGTGGACCAAGGGGCCGCAAACCGGCCCCTTGATGCCAGCGCCGGCCATGGCAGCTTCAGTCACTGCGCCTGCAGTGACTGCAGATGTTGCTGCCAAGGAGGCCTCATGGGAAAGAGAAATGCATGGCATCAGGGCAAGATTGGGGTCGTTCCAGGCTGCACCGATCGAGACAATCACAGAAGAGGCGCCGCAGGCAGGCAAGTTGCCATTCGTGGAAGTGATGGGGAGTAGAGCCTTTGGAGTCTACAAGTCGACACCATCTCCGAAGATCTCCGAACGGGAAAGGGGCTTAGTGCATTGCATGCGACACCCGGAGACCGCGGAGGTTGAAGAAGCGGACCTTGGGCAAGCTGCCCAAATGGTGGAGATGTCCCTGGCCTCAGCTTGTGGCAACACGTCGAGTTCCCATGAGATTCCGTGGAGAGGCTCAGAAGCAGCGGGAACACCAAGCTCGCCAACTCCAAATTCGTGAACTTCATTGACTTGGTCAGCAAGGTTCAGCAGCTGCCAGCTGTCAGCTTGTCTTCGTTCTGCGGGCGCGCCAGGGGGATCTCCAGTTCAAAGAGAACACCGTCATTGACAGGGAGGGAAACCAAGTAGTCGGTGCCTCATGTGCAACGGATCGTCATGTTTCGAAAAGGTCAAAATGGGAACAGCAAGCAGGTTTGATGCCCGAGCTGCTTAGAAGAAGCCTTGTTGGTGAATCCAGGACTGGGAGGCGTTGTACGACACTGATCTGGCCACTGCATCGTCCACTGACAGAGCTCAGATGGCACGCTCGGCTTGTTACGGGATCTGTGCCGTGGGGTGGCAGAAAACTGTCCTCAACTGCAGGAGACAATGTGGAAAGCTTCAGCCGACGGGTCAGGCAAATACTAGCAATACTGTCTTTTCCAGACACGTGCTTCCGTGAGAGCGTGTTTCAGCCGCGGTGGTCGATTGCTTAGGCATGGAGGCTGTGCTGAACAGGGCCGGCATGAACCATCCACTAGGGATGGAAGACTTCGAGGGAGATCTTGACTTCGGAGGAATGGCCAAGCAAAGAGACATTCTCCAGGACGGATGCCGCCAGAAGCACGGTTCACATGGGTCGAGCATCTTCATCGCTTCCCCCTCAGGAGGTGCTTGGCAACCGCGAGGAGGATTGCAAATGACAAGCCGTCTGATGCCTTGGCTCTCTGACAGCCTGGCAGGCAGATGCTGCTCTTGAGCAGATGCTACGAGGTGGACGAGAAGCCAATTGCTACCTTGCCGCAAGCAGCAGCATGAAACGGCATGAAGCCGCGGTGCAGGCTTTGATGACTTCGATCCCTTGACCATGGATCTCGCCTGACACTCACAGTGCTGTGTCCCACTTAGCAAGAAGGAAGTCAAGAGCGAGTGCTCGGCTGCGTCAGGGTGCCATCCAAAGGGCGAAGGAGTACAAGTTTGCAGAAGAGAACCCCTTCAGTTCCTAGGCTTTCAAGCTAACTCAGAGGAGAGACGACTGCAAATAGGTTGATGCAGCTGCAGTCACACACCATGGCATGATGCTGAGCTAATGGCAGAGGTGAAATCACGGACCCCCTTGCGGAAGCCATCAGGCTCATCAGAGAAGGTGCCCAGTGGAGCATGTGATATGCGCTGTTTCACTGCAGAGACGAGCTTGGCTCACCGGATCTACCTTTTCCAGAGCTCCCCTGCCAAACTCCGCGTTGTGCGGCTTCTTTGCCAGTCACTGCTGTCCTGCCTTCGGCCGCATCCGAAGTCTTCTTCGCGGCTCCATTACGATGGTTCTCCCGTGCACGCCGAAGATCCACCGAATCTCTCTCCTGGCAGCAAGAAGAGTCGCAGTATGACGCTCGGACGTCTGTTGAGATTGTATGGTTTTGTCCTTTATGAGCCCACTGTTAGTTGGTGGTTTGTGCCGAAATTTGAAGTTTTGAACCGGATTCAACCAGGCCGGGCCCTTTCCACCCACCGCTTCTCCCCACCGCGCCACTTGTGTTTTGTCGAGATTTGCTCTGCCACCCTCACCTGTGCTTGAAGGGAACGGTTTGCCAGACTCAGACCAACACACATGTACATGTGCACTTCGGTATGTCTTTGCATGTGACTGATATGTGCATGCGTGCGTCCATCAGTGCATGTGTGCGCGTGCATATGTACTCGTACGTGTGTACACATGTTATGTACGTACTGGTATGTCTGTATCGTATGTACGTACATATGTAAAGGTATATACATATGTATGTATGTACGTATGTACGTATGCACGTATGTACGTCTGTACGTCTGTATGTATGTATGTATGTATGTATGCATGTATGTATGTATGTACGCATATGTACGTATGCACGTATGTAGGTATGTATGCATGCATTCATGTACGTATGTATGTATGTATGTATTTATTTATTTATTTATGTATGTACGTATGTATGCATGTATGTATGTATGTATGTATGCATGTATGTTTGTATGTACATATGTACGTATGTATGTATGCATGCATGTATTCGTGTATGCATGCATGCCTGTGAAAATAACACGTTCCCTACCTTCCCCGACTTTGCCAACTTCGTTGGCTCAAGACCATGGAGCACTTTGTGCGACTCCAGCAAAGAGGCAACCTGTGACTTTCAGGGTTACTTTGATTGGAGGTTGAATGAGCAGCGCATCCAATACTTTAGGGTGTTGTTTGTCTGCTGATGGAGTCTGTGGTACTTTCGCATGGTAGCGGAGCTGAAAGCTCCAAGGAACTTTGGTGAGAAGACATGGCCCTAGGAGGCGAAGGAGACTTTACACGGCTTCCCTTGCCAGATACTTTCAGCGGAAATCCAGCTGATTGGGAAGAATGGGCTTGGAACTTTAAAGCCTATATTTCGATGTTCGAAACAGGTGCGATGATTTTGTTTGACAACGCCGAAACAAGCAACGACGAGTTTCTCGATGAACATTTGAATGTCACTTTGGACACAGGTGATGTTGATGCAGATGCAGCCGCTGCCCGAGTACTTTTCTCCCAAAGCTACATTATCTGCTTTCTCAACTTGTGAAAGATTCGGCTAAACTTATCGTCCGGCAGAGCGAACACAGCAGCGGCTTTGAGACTTCCAGGAGACTTTGCAAGAAGTTCTCGCTGCCAGGAGCCACGCGAAGCACATCACTTTTGACCCAGCTCCTGGACTTCAAGTTCAACCCTGCAACCTTTGAACAGGACTTTAATGTTTGGAAACCATCAAGTCAAGATATGAACGGCAGTCAGGGTACCTTTGCCTGATGGTGTACTTGTAGCAACTTTGTTGAACAAGACAACGGGAGTTTTGCAGCAACACTTGCGGTTGATTGCTAGAACTTTGCAGACTTATGCACAAGTGCGAGAAGCCATCTTGGAATACCACCGTTCTCGACTTTTGATGAAACCGGTTGCGGGGCAAGGGGCGGGGCGGGGGGCGGGGTGGGGGCGGGGTGCGGGTCGGGGCGCGGGGCGGGGCGCGGGGCCAAGCGCGCGGATGCAACGTTTCAAGGCGGAGCTTCGGCTCCCATGACATTGGTGCCTTAGCGGCAGCAATGTGGAAAGGCAAAGGAAAAGGAAAGAGGAAAAGGAAAAGGAAAGGACTTTTCGAAGTCGCAAGGAAAAGGAAATCAGCATTGACACTTTCTGAAAGGAAAAGAAAAGGGAAAGGAAAAGGAGGAAAAGGCACTTCTAGCTCTACTTCGGCTTGCTGGTCGTCTGGCAAGACAGGACACTTTGCAAGCAACTGTCCCACTTACCGTGCTTCGGCTTTTGATGGTGAGGATCAACTTTGGAATGACGACCAAGTGATTGGACTTACTTTGGTAAATCTGACGATTGGTCTGATTGGACCGACTGGGCTACCAACGCTGTGAGCGAACTTTACAACGACGGCAGTAGTTGGGATCAGACTTGGGATGATTC